TCGCAATTCGTTCGATGGATAGCGACGGGTATATATAATTTGATACCACAAAATGTGCCTCATCGGAATAACGGTCTTAGACCCTGGGTCTGTTTGAACCAAATCCATTTCAGAAAATTTAGCGTCGATCTAGCAACTTCCGTCCATAGGTCTGTCTGGCTGGCGAGTGAGCACGATAACTCTCGAAGGGAGTATCCTATTTGGTCCAAACTTGGTACATCGTAATATTATTGTCAAACTTAGATCGATCATAAAAGATGCCAAAATTGAGCTTGAACAATAACCGTCATCGTCTTACCACATCAATTCAAATACTTCCCCCAACGAAAAGGAAAAATCTCGCAAAAAGTGAATACGACTACTTACTAAAAGTCATCAGCAGAATAATAATCAGCAGTGGTATATGAGTACTCTGAGTACATACCAATTACACTTATATTCCAAAAAAAAAAAAAAAAAAAAAAAAAAAAAAAAAAAAACTTAGATCGGGTTCGCAGATGGACAATATCGGTCCACTCCTTCTGGTACTTCCCCCACAAAAAATTGAAATTTTCAAAAAAAAAAAAAAAATTACTGCACAAAAAAGAAAGAATTATCCGATCTTGCTCCAACTTTGTAAATCCTAATATTTCCATCAGTCTTCATTGTCTTCAAGTTTCAGACATCCCAATATTTCTATCAACCCAAGGTCCGGTGTTAAGATGGAATATCTGGGCCCGCTCCTTCTGGTACCTCCCCCACAAAAGCTCGAAGTTTCAAGAAATATGTTTTGCACAGAAAGAGAAACGATAATCCGATTTTTCCAACTTTGTGTATCCTAATATTTGCATCAGTGCAAAGTGAGGTGCGAATATCGGTCCACTCCATTAAGTACCTCCCCCACAAACGGTCAAAATTTGGAATATTTACAACTCTTATAAAATGTGATTTAAAAGCCCGAAAATTACAAATTACACACATCACAATATTTTTATTAACCCAAGGTTTGTTTTGAAGATGGAATATATCGGTCGACTCCTTTTAGTACCTCCCCCACAAAGTGTCAAAATTTTGAATATCCATTAAGCTCATAAAACACGAAATTAACATCCAATTTTATTCAGACTTGGCACATCTCAATATTTTCATCAAAACAAGATCTGTTATAAACATGGTAAAGATCGGATTATTCCTTCTGGTACCTCCTCCAGAAAGGGTCAAAATTTTGAATAACCAAATAGATCATAAAATCTGAAATAAGCATCTAGTTTTCTTCAAATTACACACATCACAATATTTTTATTACTCCCAGGTCTGGTGTGAAAATAGGATACATTGGTCCACTCTTTTTGGTATCTTTCCCACAAAGGGACAAAATTTTGAGTATCCATAAAACGCGAAATTAACATCCGATTCCATTCAGAATTGGCATATCTAAATGTTTTGGCAACACAAGATCTGTTAAAAATAGGGTAGAGATCGCACCATTCCTTCTGGTACCTCCCCCACAAAGGGTTAAAGTTTTGAATAACCAATACGATTATAAAATCCGAAATAAGCATTCGGATCTCTTTAAATTATACACATCACAATATTTTTATTAACCCAAGGTCTGGTGCGAATATGGAATATATCGGTCCTATCCTTCTGGTATCATAAAGAGCGAAGTTAACATCCGATTTCATTCAGACTTGGTACCTCTTATTATTACCATCAACACAAGATCTGTTATGAAGATGGTAGATATCGGATAATTTCTTCTGGAACCTTTCCCACAAAGGGTTCAAGATTTTGAAAAAAACAAAACGCCCAAAGAAAGCGAAATAAGCAAGCAACTCTCTTCAAATTTTATACAACCAAATATTTTCGATAACGCAGCATCTGTTGTGAAGATGACATATTTCTGCCACCCCCTTCTGGTACCTTACCCACAAATGGTCACAATTTCCAATACTTATTCCACAAATCTATATGATTTCACATAAAATTGCATTAAAATATTCGATTTCCTTTAATTTTTGCACATACCATTATCTTTATCTGTATTAGATGAAGTATGAAAATGGAATACTTCGGCCCGCTATATCTGCTACCTCTCGCATATTCCCACAATTTCCAAAAAATTTCTTATATCTCATATGAAGTATAGGAAGCAGTCGATATAGTCCAAATCTGGCACGTTTTAATATTCATATCAGTCTTAGATCAGATACGGATTGGTTCTATATTGGCCAACTTCGGAACCTCCTCCATAAAGGGTCAACAGTTTGAATATCAATAACTCAAGGCTGGGGGTATACAACTGATACGACTGATACTATTTTACTTGTTTTTATATATATTTCTCGCAATTATTAGAAAGCTAATAAAAGTAAATAATTGTCAATTTTGGTATATTTTCTTTTATTTATAAAAAAAATCGATTTATTCAATTTCAACTTTGAATTGTCAACCTGAAACACTGTACCCCCGCTCGCGGCATATAGTTACTTAAAACAAAAGTATTTAAATCGAATTGTATTTATTTCACTTTTAAAGCATTTTCACATCATTTGGCGATGGTCCAAAAATGCCAGTCGTACTCGAAACGATAAAATTTAAGATGAAAAAAAACAACAAGACAGCATAAAAAAGAAATGCCGAACAAAACAAAAGACAAGGAAAAACACAAAGACACACACCTACAAACATAGAAATGAGCATCATTGGCAGCAAAACAAACAACAATGAAAGTGTGTTTAGAATGGCCAAAACAAAACAAACAAACCGACAAATAAAAAATAATTGTTTTGTTTAATTGTTTGGAAAATGAATAACGTGCTACTATAACGAGAGAGGGAGAGATAGGGAGAGGAAAAACAAGTGAATAGATGCTTAATTAAAAAAATTATTATCTGCAAAAGTTCAGATATAAAATATTATTTTGTTTTTGGAAATTTGTCATTTGCAGAAGAATAAATAAAAAGACTGCCTCCACTCCACATTCTTTGCAATCATAACAAGAGATTTGTATACAGTACAAAACTTAGTATACTGACTGCTGTTATTTCTAAGCCACTCGTCCGACAACTGTTAAAATTATTCCAGTGACAGCTCATTTGTACGCTTGTACAAAGGCATTTGGGAGAGAATTTTCCAAACAAAAAAAAGTTATTCGTGATGGAATTCAAGCGTGATAGTATGATTTTCTTATATTTGGCTGGAAAACCACAAGTGGCTTCGGTACAGCTCTCCAGCATTTAAATGTGAATAAATCTTTTGTCTCTCGTACCATCGCTCGTTATCGTGATACACTGGTAGCGTAGCCCGACGTCAAGAAAGTGGACGGGAGAAAACAGCAACATCAGGAGAAATGGTTCGGAAAGCAAAGAAGCAACTTGATCGAAACCCGCGTCACAGTGGCCGAAAAATGGCTAGTGCAAATATTGAAATATTGAAAAATGAGTTTGGGGTAAAGCCATTAAAATTCAAAAATATTGCAAGAATTTACACCGCAACAGAAAGAAAATAGACTCAAAAGAGCTAAAGATTTGCTTCGATTGGCCGAAAGTGGTGAATTGCCGAATTTGGTTTTCCCCGATAAGAAAACATTCGTTGTCCAGCTTGCCGAAGAGGTCAGCTGAAAATGTACACCTTCGGTTGGCCACCGGAACTCAAGCGCCGGCCATGGCGATGGTGTGGGACGCCATAACAGCCGATGGTCGGTCTCTGCTCGTATTAATCGACCGTGGCATTAGAATAAATGCCGAATATTATCGAGAAAATATTCTGGAGGGTGTATAAAAGCCTTGGGCACGCAAACATTTTGGCCGCAGACCTTAGACATTCCAACAGGACTCAACACCTTCGCAACAAGCACGCGCCACCCAAGAATGGTTACAAAATAAGATTCCTCGCATCATTTCCAGCGAACAATAGCCCCCAAAATATCCGGACTATATTGGACTATTGTGTCTGGAGTATTTTGGAAAGCAAGGTTGGCACCTTAAAAAATACCAAAGGGTCGATCACCTCAAGTAAGTGCTTCGCCGGGAATGGGCCAAAGTACCGCAGAGCAATATTCGGGCAGCGTGCGCCGGTTTCATTGGCCGTTTGAAGGCCATAATTCGTGCCAAAGGTGGCCAATTCGAACAAATCTAATCTAATTCTAAAATTTGATGCTTTTTCCGACATTTTCGCTTTCATTCGATAAAATTAAAAAAAAATGCGATCAATTATGGCTTTTGACGTTCAAATTTGGTATTTTAAGTTCAAAATGAATATTAGACCCTAAGACAGAAAATTGTCTGTGCAGATCCATGTCTTCGTATAGCCCTCATATAACGGTACCTCCCGATATTCGGTATTTTGATGATTTTAGCGACATTATTCACCGGAATTGTTTCAAATTTGTTATTTGAAGTTCGCAATGGATACTACACCCTAAGACAGAAAATTGTTTGTGCAGGTCCACGTCTTCATATAGCCAGAATTATTTAAAATTACATATTTAGAGTTCGTCAAGGGAACTACAGTCTGTGACAGAAAATTGTCTATGCAGGTCCATGTCTTCGTATAGGCCCCATATATCAGAACCTCCCTATATTCGGTATTTTGACGAGTTTAGGTACAATACCCTCCGAAATTGTTTGACATGTGGTATTTGAAGTTCGTAATGGATGCTACAGCCTGTGACAGAAAATTGCCTATGTAGGTCCAGGTTTTCGCACAGCTCCGATGTACTTCGCTATGTACAATAGTTTGATGACTGTAGCCACATTATTCACCGTTTACTTCAAGTTTCGAATTTGAATATGGTAATGGCTTATGACAAACAATGCCTTTATAGGTCCACGTCGTATGGACCCCAATATAACGGCTATATTTGGTATTTTTAAAATTTTAACTGAATTTTTTAATGATTTTATTTTTTGAAAATTTCCAAATTCGTTCCAAATGGTGGAGGGTATTCAAAGTTCGGCCTGGCCGAACTTACTGCTTTTTAACTTATTATAATAATTTTTTTTCTAATTTTTTTCCAGAAAGCCCAACAGGGCCTACCAAACTGGCACATCAATTTTGGTTTTCATATCCGCCACCGGGCGCTGGCGGAGGCTCTTCAAGTAAGTGTCCAAGTCAATTTAACACTAAATGCATTTACCGCCCCCTCTTTTGAAAATCACCCTAAGTTTCGGAACTAAATTTAGAAATGTTATGATTTATTTTATTGAAAAAAAAAAAAAAACCCACAAAAAAAGAAAAAAAATACTCCATGAAATGAGAACAAATTAAATAAACTTTAAATTGATGTTTACAAACAAATTTTTGATGTATTTTTGTCAACTAAATATTGTTGGATGTTTATTTCGATTTGTTTTTGATTTTCTTTTTAATTTTCTTGGAAATTAGTCTGACAAAACCAAAAAAATAATAAAGATGTTCAATGTTGATTATTTTTCTATTTTTCCGATACTAAATTTCTTACCTTTCGTAATTACTAACAAAAAAAAAAGAAAAACCTCCTCTAACTAATTCTACTATACTAACATAAGTTTCTATTCGAACTGAAATCATAAAATCATTGTGTAAATTAATTCTCCTCGATACGAAATTCCATTGTAAATGCAAAAATCTAAGTTTATAAGTTTGGTTATTTTTTTATGAATTTTTAAGTAGCTTCTTAGACGATCTTCGTTTGTTCGGTTTGATTCGTTTGTTTTTGTTACACTACACAACAGTTAGGTGTTTTGGTTTGTTTTTAATTTTTTGAAGTCGAATTTTGGAGTAGCCTTTGAAATCGTCCTTGGGAAGAACATATTTATTTAAGGAACATTTGAACATAATCCAAAATCTATGTTTATTATACCCTCAGCCATATGAGTAAATACGGCCAAAACGTGCCTCATCGAAATACCGGTTTAAGACACTAGGTCTTTTTGGACCAAATCCGTTTCAAGACATTTGGAGTCGATGTCCGTCCGTCCCTCTGTCTGTCTGATAACTCTCGAAGGGAGTATCCGCTTTGATCCAAACTTCGTACATCGTAATTTTATTGTTAAGCTCAGATCGAGTTCACAGATGGAATATACCGGTCTACTCCTTCTGGAAGCTCCCCCACACAATGTCAATATTTTTGAAGTAAATGATTTACGGCATAGAAAGAGAAAGGATAATCCGATTTTGCTCCAACTTTGGTCCTAATATTTACATAAGTGCTAGGTCATGTGCGAAAATTGACAATATCGGTCCACCCCTCCACAAAAGATTAAATTAAAAAAAAAATACAAATAAAATAGTATAATTCGGTTTTGCCAAAAGATGTATACTCCAGCCTTGAGTTATGATTATTCAAACTATTGATCCTTTATGAGGGAGGTCCAGAGCTGTCGGTCCAATTTGACCAATTCGTATCTGACCTAAGAATGATAAATATATTACAACGTGACAGATTTGGACTATATCGACAACTTCCTGTACTTGATATGAGATATGTGCAAATTTTTGGAAAATGTGGAGATATGTGTGAGGTAGCAGATAGATAAAAATATTGGAGTGTTCAAAATTTGAAGGAAATCGAACATTTATATCCAATTTTATGCAAAATCAAAAAATCCGAAAAATTACATACTCGTATCAAATTTTTGGTTAAGAGAAATATTTAGATATAGCAAGATGTAAAGAATCGTCGACTTCTTTCGCAAGTTATGACGGATATAAGTATTGGAAATTGTGACTCCTTGTGAGTGAGAAACCAGAAGGAATTGGCAGATTTACATCAATTTCACAATAGATCTTTTGTCAGCAAAAATGTTTATATGAAATTTGATAAGATGGATGGATGGATTTGGATGTTTATACCGCTTTCTTTGAGCATTTTGTTTTTGAAAATCTCGAAACCTATGTAGGCGAGATACCAGAAGAAATGGGGCTATCTCCACCATATATTTAACAGATCTTGTGTTAATGGAAATACTGAAATGTACTAAGTCTGAATGGAATCGGACGTTAATTTCGCGTTTTATGAACTTCATGGATACTCAAAATTTTGACCCTTTGTGGGGGAGTTACCAGAATAACTGCTCAAATCTCAACCATCCTTATAACCGATCTTGTGTTGATAGAAATATTAATTGTGCCAAGTCGGAATGGAATCGGATGTTAATTTCGCGTTTTATAAGCAAATGGATATTTAAAATGTTGACCCTTTGTGGGGGAGGTACCAGAAGGACAGTAGACCTTGGGGTAATAAAAATATTGTGATGTGTGTAATTGGAAGACAATCGGACTCTTACATCAAATTTTATAAAAGTTGTAATTATTCAAAATTTTAACCCCCTTGTGGAGGAGGTACTTGATTGAGTGAAACGATATTTTCTATTTTCATATCTGATCGAGCAATGATACAAATATTAGGAGCAAAATCGGGTTATCCCTTCTCTTTGAGTGCAGCAAAATATTTTTTTTTTTTTTGAAAATTTCGACCTTGTGGATCAATATTGTTCATCTCCGAACTCGATCTAAATTTCATAATTATATTACGATGTACCAAGTTTTGATCAAATCGGATCTTCCCTTTGAGAGTTATTGTGAGCACCAGTCAGAACGACAGAATGCCCTGCAACGGATTTGGTTCAAAGAGATTTCCAACCGTTATTTCGATGCGATGCACGTTTTGGCCGTATCAAATGATATATACCCTCAGTAGTCATATGACTGAGGTCATAAATATTGAAATTTTGCACGACGATCAGGTTTGATGCGTTGTCGTGTGATAAGTTTAGATTTTGGAAATTCGTACCGAAAGGGTACAAAAACTAGAAATGTACTAAAATCAACGAAAAATTGAATACTTGTATTGGGCATACTGAATGAGCTAGAATCCTGAATGAAGTGCAGGATAGACGTACCAAAGGATTTTTGGAAATTCAAATTTAACGTACGTACAAAACTTTTAACGTAAAGTACAAAACTTCTAAAATGGTGGCATTTGGTATTATGTGAACATATAGAGCTAAAATATCAAGGTTGGAAAGTCCTAATTTCGGAAAAGTTTGGTTTAAGGTGATCAGATAGTTCTTGAAATCTGAAATTTGGTATGAGGGTCACTATTTGTCAATAGCCTGGACACATGGAGGTGGTTTCGGATATGTGTACTATAATTATTCGAAAAGTACTAAATAGTACTAAATTTGATATTGGGAGAAGAAATCGAGCTTGAACTCAAATATTTGACATTGTGGTCTCTGTTGCTATGTGGGATTGAGATAAGGAGGTTGTTTTGGAAATGTATACTATATTTGTACAAAAAGCACTAAATGGTACTAAATTTGGTATATAAGAGAAGAGATATAGATAATATACTGAAAATTGGTATTTAGATAACTGTTGGTATCTGATGTTGAGATTTGGAGTTTGGGTTCGGCAATGTGTACTATAGTAGTACAAAAAGTTCTAAATTGAACTAAAATTGGAATAGAGCTGAAATCATGAGTTTTTAATATCGAAACTTCTGTTGGTGCATACTAAAGTTATTCGAAAAGTACTAGATGGTACTAAATTTGGTATTGGGTGAAGGAATAGAGCTGGTATCCTGAAATTTAATATTAATGTCATTGTTCGTGTCTGTGGTTAAGATATGGAGGAGAATTTGAAAATGTGTACCAGAATTATTCGAAAAGTACTACTAAACTGGGTATTGGGTGAAGGGATAGAGTTGAATTCTCAAAGTTTCATATTAAGGGGTCCATTGGTATCTGGAATTGAGCTAGGGAGTTGATTTTGAAAATGTGTACTATAATTGTACGAAAAGTACCAAATAGTACTATATTTAGTACAATTTGGTGTTGGCTGAAAAGGTAGTACTTGAAAGGGCTAAAATTCTGAAATTTGATATTCAGGTATCTGTTAGTATCTGGAATTGAGATATGGAGGTAGTTTTGCAAATGAGTACTAAAATTATATGAAAAGTACAAAATGTATGTGTCTGGAATACCGAAAATTGAAAATTGAGATCTGTGTTAATATCTAAATATTGAGATACGGAAATTGCTTGGAAAATGTGTACAATAATTGTACGAAAAGTACTAAATGGTACACAATTTGATATTTGGTGAAGGAATAGAGATGAAATCCTGAAATTTGATATTGATGTCGCTGTTTCTGTCCGAGGTTGAGAGAAGGAGTGGGTTTGGATATGTGTGTTATAATTGTACTGAATAGTACTAATTTTGGTAACATGGGAAATGGAAGAACTGTAAGCCTGAGATTCGATATTAACGTTACTGTTGATATCTGGAATTGGATACGGAATTGCTTGGAAAATGTGTACAATAATTGTACGAAAAGTACTAAATGGTACACAATTTGATATTTGGTGAAGGAATAGAGATGAAATCCTGAAATTTGATATTGATGTCGCTGTTTCTGTCCGAGGTTGAGAGAAGGAGTGGGTTTGGATATGTGTGTTATAATTGTACTGAATAGTACTAATTTTGGTAACATGGGAAATGGAAGAACTGTAAGCCTGAGATTCGATATTAACGTTACTGTTGATATCTGGAATTGGATACGGAATTGCTTGGAAAATGTGTACAATAATTGTACGAAAAGTACTAAATGGTACACAATTTGATATTTGGTGAAGGAATAGAGATGAAATCCTGAAATTTGATATTGATGTCGCTGTTTCTGTCCGAGGTTGAGAGAAGGAGTGGGTTTGGATATGTGTGTTATAATTGTACTGAATAGTACTAATTTTGGTAACATGGGAAATGGAAGAACTGTAAGCCTGAGATTCGATATTAACGTTACTGTTGATATCTGGAATTGTTGTGAATATGTATAGAGCAAGAATCACGAAATTTGATATAGAAGTCTTTGTTGGTATCTGGTGTTGGTTTTGCAAATACGTACTATTATTATTCCTACTATATTGTACTAATATTGTTATTGGTTGAAGGAAGTGGCTCCATCCCTTAGTTGGTTTCTAGGGTTTACATATAGAGCTGTTGAAATAGTTTTGGATAGAAAAATTCGATGTGGGTCCACAGTGCAATTGCTAATATCCTCCGCGTAAAACTTCAATATGAAAGAATATTTCTTGATGTAAAAGGTAAACATTTCT